AGATCCAGTTTTATGCAGCGCATGTTGTGTGTTTTAAAAAAGGAATAATACAGTACTGTGATAGTGCAAAATACGATAAACGAATATAGTATTTGACTCTTGGCAAGACCGATAGAGCCTATAATTACGTAACGAATAAAAGTTTCGCTACTGCCAAGGTTCAGAAATGAACCTGTTTCGCTCCAAGAGTAGTGCGATAAATTGTATTCGCAACGGTAGCAGTGGCATCAGAATGCCCAATTTGTTCTAATTCGAGTGAAGAATCGGATTCGGAGGAAATTGTAAATTGAATACCGAAGTTTTAGCAGTCATGTAACATTTATGGTTTGGGAATATTTCTTTTCCGCTATATGGACATTTGGCTAAGTTTCTGGGAAATTTTCAACACTTACAACTAAAAATGAGTCAGGTGTTAGATCTGAATTGTATGATTCGAATAAATCTTATATAAATGATGAAATATTAACTCAACAAACAAAATACAAATTTTTGTGACGATTTCATTGGGAATGCGCCCAAAGAACCGATCTTATTAGCAGCGGCGAAATGTTTTGCATGCGTGTGTGCAGTTATCTGCATATCCAGTACTCATTTGTTTTTGTGTATGACCTTATTACCGATCAATCGGAAGCAGGTTGGCCACCCCTGCGTTATAGGATCGAATTTTGTGCAGGAGTCGGGCGTGCCAAACTATATCAAAAGTTTTGAAAATTGATTCAGCTCAACCGTTTCGATAATTTGCATAGGATTGACAAAACAATAAAGGGGCGACATTTGAGAGGATTCGTTCGATCGCCACTGTTTTTAAAATCGGGATCAATGGTAGCCTCGACAAAATACTGGTTCCTCGACAAAGTCTTCGTTCGCTATAGGTGGCTGTTTCTGTTGAATATATATTCAAATTGAATTGAATCATGACAAATATAATTCATATATAACACAAAAGAAGAGAATTTTATTACTCTAGTATGGTCACAACGATATCATGTTTAGTCATCATTCGTGTCTACTGATCTGATCAAATAAGATAAAAATATTCCCTTAGAACATTAACTGGAATTATAGATTTATGTAGTATATAGAGTCTTGAATATAAATATTTACAATAGCATGTCATGATTTTCGCGTTGACCAGATGATTATATGTATAAATCGAATTCGTGTTCATCAGTGTTCTAGGTGAAATAACGATGACAGATCGTGATGTTGAAAATATTCATAGTTGAATTTGATTAGTTACTTTTAGAATGTTAATGAGATAATGAGTAATTTTGCAACAAATATTCTGTTCCTGTTTATTCAAGATCTTTGTCAAATTCAGTTGCTTGAATCATTCCATCGTTATCAGCATCGAGTTTTTGGAATTCCTGCTTAATAAGATCGTCAAGATCTCTGCTTTGTTCCAAGTCTTGTTCGTGTTGCTCAGTAACGACATCAAGAAGGGCCAATACATCTTCTTCGTTGTTGGAGTCCAATAAATGAGAAGCAACTAATTGACCGGATTCGTTGTCCTGGTGATATAAAATGTAAAGTGCTGTTATGGAGAACAAATTTGCGCTAATTACTCGATAGTGAGTTATGCCTTACTACCGATATAACACACTAGAGACGTGCCGATACTACTTTTGTCGCCGATACCAACAGAAAAACGCCAATATTTCGAAAAGTCGATATTCCGACACTATGTAATTATAACTTTAGGGGTGCAGGGCGGACGGGTTGTAACAATAGTCTTTAAGCATTATTTATACTGCACATTATTTCAGCTTGAAAAAGAAATATTTCAGATAAGATGAGAAATCGAAGTTTGTGATACAGATGCATAAATTGATTCGGATGCATTGTGCACCGACGTTCGTAAACTAGAGGCTCAATTAGAAAACTAATTTTGTGCAAATATAACGTTGTATTTTACACATTGGAAAATATTCGATTGATATATTTCTTCATAATTACCATGTCATATTAAAATGTCAATTTAAAAAGTTGGCAGCAAAAATAGCCAAATTAGTTGAGAGTTAACGAGGCGATTAATTTCAACATCCGTATTTCAACTTATTTTTGAAGCATTCTGGATCACAATAAAGAGCTAAATATATCGGAAATAGCGGTATACATTTAGCCGATACCGAAAAAATAGCCGATATTCCCGATAACCATACATTGGTACATCTCTACAACAAACACGCTTCTATACTCCATTTCATCAAGTTCTTGCCGAGTTGAGCAATTGAGATTTCTGTGGTAAATAAAGAACTTAATCGGTTGATGTACAGTACAATGTTCTGTTTGTATATATATCTCACCAGCAATTTTGCAATCATTGCTTCACGAAACTCGGATTGCGATATAATTCCGTCTTCATTTTCATCAAGTTCGTTAAACACGTCCCAGGTATTTTTCAGATCCTCCTGATTTTTTTGTTGAAGCCGCTCGTCTCCCAATTCCAGTTTACAAGAGAATTTTTTGCTCAAAATCCAACCAGCTGAATCCAGATGAGAAAGAATAAAAAAAGGAAAAAAATTCATTACAGTTGCATGAAACCCAACGATTTTACATATAATTACCAGTAACTTCACCGGTCATCACAGGTCCACACAGTGTACGGTTATGGAGTTCATCATAAAAACGAACGAACATTGCTCAAATATATGGACAGTAAGCGAATGACGTTAGGAATAAAGACGCTTCCGGCTGAAATTAACCTATTCGAAACGATAGTCTGGCCATTTATTGTACAAGTGGCATCAATTTAATCAATAAGGCATTTCATTCGTTCCATGTGACGGCAATTTTAGTGGGCAGGCAAACAGGACTCATCGCATGGTTATCAAGTACCGGTAATTTCTATAATTTGAATCTTGAACAATATCAAATACTCACAGAGGAATTTAATCGATGCACGCCCAGTTCTACATAATCCACAGTCACAGCACACTATGTTGCATCCCTTTCCGTTTCCACTACCGGAACCACAGCACTTCCTGCGGTTCCATATGCTAACTTTAGCGCAGTCTTTGCAGAAGCCTGTGAAAATAACGTGAAACACTATGAAACCTTTTTCAATCCTGGAACATATTTCATTTGTAATGGGATTAACTTGTTACAAGAACATTTGTAGATAACTCAAGACAATATCACAAGTCCTTTTTTGAAAGTGGAATTACTACTTAATCGAATCCTGAATTGGGATTCCCAAATAGAACAAAAATAAATATATATATATATATTTAATATTCGAATATCGAAAAAAAAAACACTAGAAAGAATAACTAATGTACACCATTTGAACCAGCATATCATGCGTCTACGAATATAATTTTCACACTCACCGTTTTGTCCACGACCACAGCAAATTGCCGAAATTTCCGCTACGGCAAAAAGCAGGAGTACAGCAATAATACCTAAAAGATTATTCATTGTAAATATCCCAGATGAAATTGATAGTTATTTCTAAAATATATTTGCATTAAAAAAGATATGTTCATAGTCAGCGCTCTTCAATGCCCAATAGTACTGAATTATAACGAGGAAGAAGTCAATTAGGAATGTGAGCCTCCGCAAACAGAAACTTAATTGTATGCCATTTCGTTCTTTTACGAATGCGGGGGTGATACTATGTATCCCCGTTCAAACCAATGGTAGTTTCATTTTTAGAATTCATAGTATTTCATGATTCCGATTTTGTGTTTCACTTTCGGCAATATATATATATATATGTTGCTCCCAAATACCTTAAATTCCTTAAACATAATAATTTGCATGACCCTGGACACGTATGCTGCATAACATTATCCTGATACATCTCTAATATACGTCCCCTAATCGGGAGGCGAACCTGCAACTCCCCTAGACAATCTGCTGTAGTATGACAAGCGAGGTACAAACGCAAATATCTACTACATTATTTCGGCACAAAAATCGACAAAGTTGATAATATAAATCTGTTTATTTTGCAAATGGAAGTCATACACAAAATCACAATTATTAGTGAGTGAAATGAATTCGAGCATTTCCAATGTAGATTTGAGGAGACTTATCTCAACTCCATACTAAACAAAGAAACAAGTACAAGTTGTTAGTTTCTTTCATTCTGCACTTCGCTATCAGTGTAATATCAATCGAAAGCACGTTAATTTTGTCAACGAATACTAGACGATACAACCTGACAAGTCAAGAGCATGACATGAAAATGTTTTCTTCTTCCACTATTAAAAATTTTGAAACGGATATTTGTTTACAGAGACTCCCACACAAAAATATTTGTTTTGATGAGTAAAAAGTCTTAGCTGTCAATAAATGGAAATTCCACTAAGCCACATTGTGTCGAGAAGCATAATATCCTTACCACATTCCGATGGAGACATATATATTTTTTTCAAAACCTATAATCATAGCAAACTGCAATATTATAAATAACTTATTAGTGGAAATGACCTGATGCTATTTTATGCCCCTGGTGCACTTAGAAAGTTTTAATGATAGGCCGATAAGGAATATCTTGACAGTCATGCACATTCTTATGATGATAAAATATCCATTTCTGGACATAAGAAATAAAGTGAGCTTAATAGAATGTCCTCAAAATTCAGTATCAGATGAAATGACGAATTGATCAACACAGCTCCAGAGTAAGAAAAATCAAATGATATATTGCTGGTTTCAAATCTGTGCTTAATACGAGATAACAATGTATTATCCAATGAGGAATCAGTCCAAAAGCATTTCAAATCGCCAGTCAAGTCAAACTTGCATCCCAAGGTGGTCAACAAACTTCGCTTTTATCAAAACAAGTTCACAACCCACAATAATCATACAATAAATCTGATTGATTGTCATTTAAAGGGATATATATAGTATATATTCAATAGCCTCGGGCTAGTAAATAACAAGATTAATGCTTCACTGGTATAGAATCTACATCGTTTCTTGTGTCTCTTCCTTCAACCTTAATCGATTTAAATATTATTGCATAGCAAAAGCGATTCACATCCTCCCATCTGGAAACCTTCAATGGCCAAACAATTTTTTAGTTTCCTAAATGCATTCGGTCACAATGTTTTAATGCTATGAGGAATAACCATACTGCGGTGAAATTTGAGTCCTAAATAGGGATCACTAAATGTCGATATAGGCATACAGTACTGACCTAAATCAAAACTATGGCGACTGGCGACATTTTAAATTTGTAGTGTACAATATGTCACACATTGTTACATAGTTTATAATGATTTAAAAAGACCGCATAGTTTGTCGTCTGGTGTCGTGATGTTTTTTTAGTTTCTAGAATAAACGCCCGTTGTTTGAGGTAACCAAACACTGAACAACGTCAAGGTTACAATTAACGCAAATTTTTATTAAAAATATTCGTATGCACGGCGACTAAACCGTGATTATTTTGGTATAGTTAAGTGCTATGACGAGCATTTCACTTTTCATATACAAAACAATCATGGGGCGATATTTACCAGGATTCGTTCGATCATGATTCGTTCGCTTTCTTGACAAAGTCTTCACTCGTTATAGGTGGCTGTTCCAAGTGTTTATGTCCAATATATTCAAATTGATTTTAATCATGACAAATATAATTCATATATAACACAAAAGAAAAGGATTTAATTACTTACTATACTCTAGTATAGTTCTAATTAAAAAGCCACAACGTTAAAATGTTTATTCATCATTCGTGTTTAATGGTCTGATTAAATAAGATAAAAAATATTCTCTTAGAACCTTAACTGGAGAGTATATAGAGTCTTGAATATAAATATTGAAAATAGAATGTCATGACTCTCGTGCTGCACAGATGATTATACGTTTAAATCTAATTCGTGTTTATCCCGGTTTTAAGTAAAATAAAGATGAGAGATCCTGCTGTTGAGAATATTTCTAGTTGAATTCGATTAGTTACTTTTAGAATGTGAAAAAGATTTTGAGAAGTTTTGCAATATTTCTTATGTTTCTTTTTATTCAAGATCTTTGTCAAATTCAGCTGCTTGGATCATTCCGTCGTTATCAGCATCGAGTTTCTGGAATTCCTGCTTCATAAGATCACCAAGATCTTTGCTTTGTTCCAATTCTTGTTCATCTTGCTCGGTAACGACATCAAGCAGAGCCAATACATCTTCTTCGTTGTTGGAGTCCAAAAAATGAGAAGCAACTAGTTGACCGGATTCGTTGTCCTGTTGATAAAAATGAATTATTTGGTGTAAAGTGTTGTTGCGAATTCAAATTAGGTACATCCAGATATATTTGATTTAAAGTTAAGTATAATTCGTTTTAAATTGCTGTAAAGGTTCGGCCATGATTGAGCAATATATAAGGGATTTCTGCGATGAAGAGCTTAAACGGTAAATATACGCTAGCCAGGGATGGCGAACCACTGACCACAAAGTGACCAACCGAGTTTATTTCGGTGACCCGCCAAATCACGAATCAATGCAAAAGACATACTAAGATTTCAATAACGAATGAGTCGATAAATTGAATATAATTAAAGGAGAGAATTCTCAATAAAATGAACAATATCGTTATTGACAGGTCCAAAATTGGGATTTTCGACGGTGAAAGAAATGTTGAAACCTGGCCATTATCCTCAATTACAAATTGAGACGATATCATGTAGCCTACGATCTCCAAGGTTGCGAGATTGAAGGACTGCAAAAAATTTTCAGAGGCCTTGCGGACCGCAGTCGGAAAAACCCAAAAGTGATCAAAACACTGCGAGTTCAGTTACTTTAAATATATCAACGAATAAAAATTGACAGTTCTAATCAGCCTTATGTTGCATATGTGGCGTTTTTTATTAATTATTGTAAGGAAGATATATAAAGCCACAACGAAACAATGTATTGTTTCTTGCTTTTGGTACTGTTTCAGATATGCGTTGCGTCACTGCTGTCACATGGCCCACGCTTGAAATAGGGCTGTATTTGTACTAACATGAAGGCACTAACGTCTTTCCATATAAGGAGTACATATATGCTCAATCAATTTTCTATTTCACTCAACTGAATTGCATTTATTGGGATTGCAGCTGGGATAAAGGAGTTATAAGGTAAAAGGGTCGATGGTTTACGTTGAATACAATTATTACGACATGACATTAATATCAGCTGCCTGCTCTCTTTTACGACGCACGTTTCTGCATTCCGTTACGCGACTACTGTCAAAGATGCATAAATACACACTACAATCAAACGATTATAATACTTGTGGAAAAGATGCCGAAACACGTTTCTCACTGATGCAGACATTGAATAAATATAAATGACCCACGGTCTTCTTTTCAATGATGAAAATAAAGTTTTGGCTCATTCAATGAAAAAGGTTCGCCATAAATGCGCTAGACTAGATGGTACACCGCGGTGCTCTCTGCATATCTCACCAATAATCTGGCAACCATTGCTTCACGAAACTCTGATTGCGATATGGCGCCGTCTTCATCTTGATCAAGTTCGTTGAACACGTTCCAGGTACTTTTCAGATCTTTCTGATTTTTTAGTTGAACCTTCTGGTCACCCAATTTCAATTTACAAGAGTATTTTTTGTGTAGGAACCAACCAGCTAAATAAAAGAGGGAAAAACTAAAAAAAGGTAGAATAGGCATCACAGTTGCATGTAACCTAACGAATAACGATTTTACTTTTTAATTACCAGTAAGTAAGGCAAAGACATTGAGGAATAAGGAAGGTATTTCCGAATGAAATTCAAACCTACTCGTAACGATAACTTGGTCGTTTATTGTCCAAGTGACAGCAATTTAATCTATGATGCATTTCATTTGGTCTATGTGACGGCAATGTTACCTAGTGGGCAGGCGAAAATGATTTATTAAATGATAATAGGTACTGGTAATTTCTACAATTTGGGAATCTCAAAACAGTATCAATAACTCACAATGGAATTCAACCGTTGAATTTCCATTCCTACATGATCCACAGTTACAGCAAAATAGGTTGCATCCCTTCCCGTTTCCACTACCGGAACCACAGCACTTTCTGTGGCGCCATATGCTAACTTTGGCGCAGTCTTTGCAGAAGCCTGTGAGATAATGAGGTTTAAAACGTTCTCATTTCTAAAACATTTCATAAAAAATTGGTTTAATTCCTATCATTCATTTTTGTAAAATGTGAAGAAATAATCAAGACAATGTCTCAAACGCGTTTTTGAAATTGGAATTACCACTGAAAATGTAGTTGCAAACAATCGATCACGTGCAATGAGATAATGTGCATATACGATTATTGGAGTTTACATTATCAGAAAAACTTGAAAGGTGGTTCCTATAGCTGAAACAGATAATATCTGACATGACGTTGAATGTATTCATATATAAATCCTGAATCAGCATTAGAGATATCCCAAATAGAAAAAAATTCTATGATGTCTTAAATAAAACAAAATTGACCATATTTGATATTCGGATATCAAAATACAGTTAGAAAACCGAAATAAACGGCGAATGCGTTTACCAATATATAATTTTTCACACTTACCGTGTTTTCCACGATCACAGCAAATTCCTGAAATTTCCGCTACGGCAAACAGGAGGAATAAGGCAAGAAGTAAAAATTTAACCATTGTAAATATATATCCCAATTGAGATTTCTAAAAATATAATTGCATTAAAAAAGATATTTCATGGCCAGTGTTCTTCAATGTCCAATAGTATTGAGCTACAGCGAGGAAGTAGTCAATTAGGAATATAAGCCTTCGAAGGAGGCAACTAAATTGCATATTACATTGTTCTTTTACGAATGCGTAGAACTAGAGGACTATGTACTATGTACATGTACTATGTATTTTCGATCGAACCAATGGTGGTTTCTTTTTCAGAATCTATGTTGCAGATTTTGTGTTCTACTCTTAGAAATATATACATAAATAAATACACATTAATCTACAAACTGAAGCTAACTTCAGACTACCTATATTAATCTATATGCAACATAAGAGCATCACAAACATCCTAGTTGCGAGGGTGTCCAATCTGGAAAGTGGAGAAATTGCTCCCAAATACGTTAAATTCCTTAACCTTGTTCATTTGCATGACTCTGGACACATATGTTGCATAACATTATCTTGATACACTGCACGTACATCCGTTTTTCACTGTCACAATACCGCTTTGGAAACTTGAGAAAAGTGATATTCAGCTATTGTCCTTTTGTGAGTCACGAAGATCTATCTTCTTCAATGCGGGTTGTATCAAAGGTAAAGGCTAAAAAGTCTCCGAGAGAAGCTTGAAACAAATTCTATGGGCTATAACTTGGATTAGAGTCACGAAATGTCGTTCAGAGCGGCTTTCTTATTTTATAACAGATCACATACCAATAAAGATCATAACTCAGCTTCTGCTTCGTTACTTCTAACAAATAGTATTTAAGTAGGCTACAACAAATTACATCAACAAGTTATTAATTTCCACAATATAGCACAGCATATAGCAGTGTAATATCAATCTAAGACATATGTCTTTTGCCAACAAATTCTAGACATTACAGGGCGAACAGTCATTTTGGCCGAATAAGAAAGGGTATTTGTTAAACCAAATCAGAATTGATTCGTTGAATTTAACAAAATATGCATCATGAATATGATTATGTTTATTATATATATATAACATTCCGAATACACTGAAGTATAGAAAATAAGAAAGACGACCTGCCAAGTCAAGAGCATGACTTATAAAATATTTTCATTTTCGACTATTCAAAATTTTGAAAGGAATAAATTTTTTTCAGAGACTCTCACACAAAAAATATTTGTTTTGATGAGCAAGAGGTTTTACTTATGAATAAATGGAAATTCCATTAAGTCACAATATTGTGTCGAAAAGCATCAAAAACAGATAATTAAAACAAGATTGTAATAACATCCTGTGAATTGCATAATATCTATATACCACATCCTATTATTGACATATAATTTTTGAAAACCTTGAATTATAGCAAGTTTAGCAAAATGCATCATTAAATTAACATAGAAATGTACAGATGCTATTCCTATATCACGTTGACAGTTCCAATGATAAGCCAATGCAGAATATTTATAAGGATTTTTTTACTCATGCTCCAAGTATAAGTAAATCCAGTGGCGGCGCGTCAATAGGGCCAACCGGGGCAATGCCCCGGTTGTTTATTCGGTATAATAAAAAATATTCGAAAAATACCTCAATATCGGTTGCACAGACTGTCTCCACTAGCCATATTCTCCCGACATGGTTCATTTTTCGCTCGCAAAGCCTTCGCCGAACGTCGACGGGGCGACGCCGATTTTGCCCGGTTGCTCATTGTATATCGTATTCTCTCTTTTATCTTCCACTCGCCGCGTTTGTTTTCTGTTTCTTTTACTAAATCATCGGGGCTAGCCCCGAAATTATGACGACACAATGCCGACGTTTCTTACAACAACGTGTTGACATATTCACGCATTCCTTCTTGTTCGTTGGTTGCTTGAAGAGTTGATAGTTTCCTCGCCTTCGTTTTTGTCGCTTGTTTCGCTATTTGAATCAGTTAGAGACCTTTAGTCCATTTGCTTTCGATTTTCCACATTCCTTTTGAGCTCCTCACTTCTTTCCGGCTCCGCATTTCTTAGCCTTAGACCTCATAATGAATAAGGTTGATGCACTACTTCGCACTCCGTTTTCGCAGCTGCCGCTGGAACAAAAATTAGAGGTACAACGTCTTGGGCCTTATCAACCAAAAAATTGTTCACTGGAACAATCCCATGACGGAGGAAAGCGTCGGCGTACATTCTGCGCAGAAACTTGGTATAAAAAACACGAATGGTTGTGTTACAGCCAGGACAAAAATGCATTTTTTTATTTTTATTGCCTACTTTTTGCTACCGCCCGTGACTCACGTTGGTGTAAATTTGGTTTTAGAGATCTTGAACATCTTTCCGAGCGTGCCAGGGATCATCAATCTTCTATGGAGCATCTGGACAATGCAGTAAAATACCGAACATTCGGAAATGTTAATATTGCAGTGTTACAGCCTTACAACGCGAAGTCAAAATTGATAGCTCAAACTTATGACGGCGCGGCAGTCATGAGTGGGTCGAAACATGGTGTTCAAGTATATATAAAAGAAGATTTTCCTCATGCGCATTTTTTACATTGTTATGCACACCAATTTAACCTCGTTATTAAAAATATGTGTCTTGATACCCCTCTCGTCCGTATATTTGTTGCAAATGTTTCGGGGTTTTCTTCATTTTTTTCCGTTTCGCCGAAGCGCTCTGACCTCCTTCGCCAGATATGTAGCCGCCGTCTCCCAGCTTGTGCACCAACACGTTGGAACTTTCAATCACGCGTGGTGCAGGGCGTGTCCGAAATTAGGTCTGAACTCATTGAGTGTTTCAATGGCATTCAGAGCTCTCCGGTTTGGGACGAACGCTCTGTGAGGGAGGCCGCAGGTCTAAAGCGTTTGCTAGAAGATGGTGAGTTTTCATTTTTTCTCCACAATATTCTATCACGTGGATGTATTATACGGCGCATTGCAGTCAAGGCTAATGGATGGAGCGTCTGTGCAGTCGTGTATTTCAGACTTCGGCGATGCTGTATCTCGTATCCGGGAAACAATAAAATACGACGACACATGGAGTGCTTCTTTACGCCGCGGGCAAACAACGCAGCGTTTGATTTTGTCTGCAAAGGAATGCTGTGACATTCTGGTGAATCAAATAGGCGATCGTCTGCGCACTGAACACCTTGCCGCGTTCTCTTTGATGAACCCCAAAAATTTTTCAAAATTTGCTCGTCAATTTCCCATCCATTTGTTGGCTACTGTCTCCAAATTTTACCCCATGATAAACGTGGGTAAATTAGAAAATGAATTGCGATGTATATACACCAATCAAACTTTTTTGAACATCACATCAACTTGCGCGCTCTATGGGTTCCTCATAGATAACACTCTAGTAACTACTTTTGCGGCGTCTGCGAAATTTCTGGACATCATTTTGACGACGCCTATTTCTTCCGCCGACGCAGAGCGAACATTCAGCACGCTGAAGCGTATTGAAACGTATCTCAGAAACACAATGAAGCAAGATAGATTAAATTCCTTGGCTGTTTTATCCATTCACAGAGACGTTATTTCTGGGATGCATGACTTTAATCAGCGCGTTATTGAGCATTTTGCTTCCAAGAAACCGCGGCGTGTTGCATATATGTTCAAGCAGTAGAAGTCTAGCAGCATATATATCTATGAGCGAGCGACGCATGTCCTTATCTTTGCATTAACTTTCCTTTCTTCATAGTAACGTTTTAAACCTTATTTTAGGTTTTGTCTGCTTTCCCGAAGTTTCTGTTAATATTTCATTGTATTTATCTGGGTAAATATTGTCTTTCCTTTTGAAAGAGGTTTCAAAATAAACTATGTCTATATTTATTAATCCCTTGACTTGGACCGGTTTTAAAGACACTTTCTTATCGTTAAAAATTGTCGCTTTTGCCGATTGGTTAATACCGATGGAATGGTTTTTATACTCATAAAATGATGGGAGAACTTACAGCGCTCATCCTGTCCCCGTAGATGGGGGTGACTTGGTCCCGCAGTAGCTTGCCCCGGTTGTCAAAATGACCACGCTCCGCCACTGAGTAAATCCATTCTCGTCATACGAAATGTAGCGAGCCTGTCTATTAGGATTTAGGATATTCTCAAAATTCAGTACCAGATGAAATAACTAATTGATCAATAGCACCGAAGTATAAGAAAAATAAAATGACATACTGCTGATTTCAAATATGTGCTTTAAAGAGATAATGATGTATAACCACATATGGCATCGGTCAGAAGATTTCAGATTGCCAGGCATGTCAAACTTGAGTCCTAAGAGGGTCAAAAATCTTACCTTCATCGAAACAAGGTCAGAAATTACGACTATCATACAATGAGTTTGAATGATTGGTATATAAAGGGATACAATATATATTCAATAGCATTAAAAAGCTAGTGTGATGTAAGTGTATGTACCAATCTGGAGGTAACTAATTTTGTTCGACCACTTTACATCAAGTTGTATAAAAGGACTGAAACCTATGGGCAGGGGGATATTCAATTGGCTAACACAGACAGTCCCCGAACTAGTAATAGAACTAATATAGGAAAATCGGAATAAAACTATGGCCTACCCATAACCTGGTAAATACACTACGGTAGTACCGATTTAAAGACCGGATTAAAATCTACATCGTTCCTTGAACAAAATTCTTGCCCAATAACCTCCATCGATTTGAATATTATCAAATTAGCAAGAGCGATTGATAGACGTCGCGTGCCAACCTTTTTTCATCTGTCATAGTCAAAACTAGCTATCTGGAAACCTTTAATGGCCGAACAATAATTTTTTCCTAAATGCATTCGTTCACAAAATTGCAATGCCAGTGAGAAGAACCATACTGCGCAGGAATTTGAGTCATAAATAGTAAGCACTAAATGTTGATATAGACATACAGTCCTAGCCTAAATCAAAACTTTGGCGACTGGCGTTATTTTAAATTTGTAGGCCACGCATTGTTACATTAGTTTGTAATAAGTCAAAAATACCACAGAGTTAGTCGTCGGGAATCGTGATGTTTTTTTAGTTTCTGAAATGAACGCCGTTGTTTGAGATCACCAAACATTGGTCACCGCCAGGGTTATAATAAACCTAAATTTTTATTAGATATATTCGTATTCACGGAGACTAAACTGTGATTGTTTTGGTATAGTATGACACGCATGTTGCATAACATTATCTTGATACACTCACTGCACGTACGTCCGTTTTTCACTGTCACAATACCGCTTTGGAAACTTGAGAAAGGTGATCTTCAGCTATTCTCCTTATGTAGGCTTACCATACGTCCTGGTTTAGTCGGGACAGTCCCGGATTTGACAAGCTGTCCCAGCGTCACAAATTTTCTAATGAGTTGAAGAAAGATTTTCCTTATCTGAAGCAAACTGAAGGAGAATAGGTACACTGTACGCATTGCAGATCTGCTTTTCTATTAGTCATGACGGTCGTTCAGATGTCAACGATCATAACAAAACATTAATTGAGGCATCGACTCGACTG